TACAAAAATCGAGCGAATTTTCTTCTCCGTTGGTTAAGACACTCATGCTTTTCAATGACCTAACTTAACTGAAACACATTGTAACAATTCGTGTTTATCTGTCTGTATCTATATCCATATCTATCTATCCATCTATCAACCCATCCATTAAATTATCCATTAATTGTATCTTCTGATACAACTTTCCATTCATCTATTCATCCATTCACTAATTTATCCATCCATCCATCTATCAACCTTCAAAATATCAAATTCTCACTTGATGATGAATTTTTTTTCTTCAAAATAAAACCGTACTCAGTGACTGATTGATTGACTTGTGTGTGTGTGTGTATGTGTGTGTGTATATGTGTGTGCTTAGGCGTGTATGTGTGTTTGTGCGTGTGTGTATATATATATGTGTGTGTATGTGTGTGTGTGCGTGTATGTGTGTGTGTTTGTGCGTGTGTGTATGTGTGTGCGTGTATGTGTGTATGTGTGAGTGTGTGCCTTCTCCCTCGAAGTATATATTATTTTAGCTTTGTCCTTGAATTAATCTCGTTTCATTCATAATTTTATATATTTGTTTGTATTTATCTCTTATTCTTAATATATATCAAATACCTAGTTATAAACGATGGTTTGTTTGATGGTGATGGTAATTAAGTCTTGTTTTGATTAAATTTTTTAAAAAAGTGTTCTCCAACTTCTGCACCCTTGTCAGGTTTACCATCAGAGGAAATAACTGTCTTATAGTCTTTTACCAGATCCCTGTGTTACTCAATATCCTAAGTTTGTTAATGTATGATTTGGTAGTCGAAATCTTGACGTTTTTGATATATAGTACATGGATATCAATGATATAGTATCTTGAATCGACCGAACACTTATCATAATGAATGATTTTTTGGGAATGTGTGGTCTGGCTTATATGGTGAATTAAGCTAGTAGATTTTACTAGATTCACTACTAGATACTCATCTTTTGAGACTAAAAATTCTGCAATGGTAATGAAATCCCGACATTTTTGATATATAAGTATTTGAATCGGCCGATTAGTTATCATTAGGTGTAACTGGACTCGCACTATAGTTCGAATTTTTAGTGAATTTATCATTAATATAGTTAAATAAGCTGATAGTATATGTCATATATATATATATATATATATATATATATATATATATATATATATATATATATATATATATATATATATATTCACCAAAAAACTTTAGTGAGAAAAATCGAAAAAACGAACTACAAACATATTAACGCCAAACATTCGGTAGAATTTATAGAATATTGTAATATATATATATATATATATATATATATATATATATATATAGTCGATATAAATATATTTATTAAATTATATATATTCATATATACTCCAAACCACATAACTAGAATAATAGGACTAATCGATCAATTCGATCTATCGGTCGGGCTATTTGTCGGGCTTGGATTGTTGGCTTACGAAATTGCATGGATTTTAACGAGCAAGCTATATGAAATATTTACTTAATTACTTAATTTAATATGCTTAAAACATTGTAGTAATTCTATTTAATTTTAATAATAAACAATAGATTTATGTATTATTAAATTATTTTTGTTAATTTGAATATAAAAATTGCTTTTGGTCCGGTGAAATCCGGTGGCTTACTGAAGCCGAAGGTTGGCTTAGTAGGATTGAACTATAGTCACCCTTTTTTTTACACTATTCGATCGTTGTAAAAATTTGTTTGCTTATGAAATAAACGGTCTAAATAAATCAAAATTGTTATTTGAACAACTTTCTTCATTATATTCAATGAATATTTTACATTTTGGTGGTGCTTATAAGAAACTGGCTGCTGAAATCATACGTCGGCTTACAGCAGTGGCTTACAGGGTTTCATAGAACTCTTACGATAGCAGTTTTTTGTACATATAATGCTTTAAATAAATCAATATATTCATATCACAATTATTTTTGTCAGTATAAATATAGAAATTGCTTTTGTCAGGTGAAAAACAGTGGCTTACTAAAGCCGTAGGTTGGCTTAATCGGATTTTTTCTCATGTATACAATATTATGAGATAAATCAATCAAACAATCAGTCGGTCGGTTGGTCAGTCAGTCAGCCAGCCAGTCAGCCAGCCAGCCAGCCAGCCAGCCAGTCAGTCTGTCTGTCTGTCTGTCAGTCAATCAATCAACCAACCAATCAACCAATCAATCAACTAAATTGAATGAACCAAATAAACAAAAATAAAAAAAAAAAATTTGCAAGGCCTGTTCAAACTCGAACAAACAGTTAACCGTACAGATCTACAAACAATTTCGAGATTTTAGTAAAGAAAGAAAAATGAAAAGTGACGGTTAATTAAAATTTTAAAATGTCAATTATTATCCATCATTATAATTATCATACACACTCCTTAGAAGCTCTCGAAGGATAATAAACCACGTAACATGAACATTTAGCAAGAACAGTTCACAACATATCATAATGACTAAATCAACATACCAAACAGAAATTATTTATACATGCATATATAAAAAGGAAATCAAGAAATATCAAAAAATTATATAACCAATTTAAAAAAAACTAGAAACCAGTCAACATTTAATGAATAAATAAATAGACATTAAAAAGATTGTTCAAAAAGGTACAATTTAAGGCGACGACGAGAATGAAATGTAGTTTGTTTTGTTGGTGGGGTGTTGTGAAGCGAAAACAAACGCATCACACAACACTAGTAAGAAGTCGCAAGAATAGTAGTCAGTCACCTACCTACAATTAAATTACTCTCAGGGCCCTAGCTTACTTATAATCATTAACTCAACTCACTTACCTACAAATTTGTATTTCTCGTTTTAGATGTTTCAAGTATTTTATTTAACATATTTTAGCGTTTTTATTTTACTTGAAGCTTTTTAACTAATGTTAAGCCCTAGCCTACCTACAATTGTTTAACTCATCTCAGTCCCTAACTTACCTATGAATTAAATTAAAGTCCGGTTCACGGTAAAGAAAATAGAAAGTTGAGGAGAAACATAACAACAACGACACCGAATGAATGGATGTTGTGTATGTATGTGTTGTATTGATGTGTGTGTGTATGTAAATGTGCGGGCGCGCACTCTCCAGAAACTTCACTCACTACCGACGAACCTCCATTGCACCGACCATCACGCATCCGATGAAATGAATTTGACCGGATACTGAAAAATAAATTGAAAAAAAATTAATCCACTAAAATTAAAGACAAGCAATTGGAAAAAATAGGCAACTTATCTTTTTGAGATAACACTCAATCTTTGTTCAAATTCGAGTACTTTCAAAGGTACAATGAGACAAAAACAAATTTACCTTTAACATTATCTTCGATTTGTCATCGGAACGATCATCATGAGACCACCATCTGAAACGTGCTGACGCCCACCACAGCCCACCTCTCATCATTCTGTAGACATTTTTTTATTAGCGTATTAGTAAATCAAGGAACAAAGGAACGATCGAATAAATGATTAACTGAATGATTGAATAATTGGTTAAATGAATGAGTGAATGAATTAATTAATTAATCAACCAATGATTTAATTAATGAATAGAATGAATCAATGAATAAATTAATTGAGGAATAATTTGAAAGATAGTGATAAAATGAATGAATGAATGAGAAAAATAAAGAAAGAAACAAAATCATACTTCAAAAACTGTCGTTGTTGTTATCTTCGAATTGCCATCGGAACGACCATCATAAGACCTCCATCTGAAACGTGCTGATGCCCACCACAGCCCACCTCTCATCATTCTGTAGACATTTTTTTTATTAGCGTATTAGTAAATCAAGGAACAAAGGAACGATCGAATAAATGATTAACTGAATGATTGAAGCCCTAGCTTACCTAAAATTAAAAAAAAACTCAAGAGCCCAATTCATTGGCCAATCGGCACCCACCCCACCACCTACGTAATGCCTTGGGCTCCAACTTAGTAATAATAATATAAAACTTAAACCCTAAATCTAGTAATGAGAGAGAGAGAATTCAAAATTGTTTGAGACCACACCTTGCTTAACATCTAATTCCAAGCCGAGCCGAGCCAAGCTGAGCCAATATGCATAGATTTATAAGCGCTTTTATGTTAAAATTTTGCTCGCTATATTTATATATTTTATAAATTCATTATAAAAACAACAGTAATCATTGCTATATATGTACGCACGCAGTTCAAATTTTTCGGGGAGAATTCAAAATAGTTTGAGACCACACCTTGCTTTACATCCGATTCCAAGCCGAACCAAGCCAAGCTGAGCCAATATGTGTAGATTTATAAGCGCTTTTATATTAAAATTTTGCTCGCTTTTTAAACGAATATCCCAATATAACAAATTCTCCATCCTATTTTAACTTTCTTTGATGCTTTTTAATCAGTCAGGTCACAAAAATCATTATCGATATCGCAATGAAATCAATTTGAAATTCTTTTTTTAATTATTGATAAAATTTTTAAATTGTTGATAAAAATAACTAGTATATATAGTACAGTAAAACGTTTAAAATTTTCTGAGAGAATTCAAAATAATTTGAGACTACACCATAACAATTGTACAATTTGAATGTGTAAAATGTAAATACAACATTATAAATGTATTATAACTACGTATATCTATCTATTTCTTTATTTAGTTCTGCCTGCGTATGATATTTTGTCAAATTTATTTGATAGGAATTGAATATAACCTTTATACCGGCTGATTAACTACCATGCAGTAAAATAACTACTGTTAACATGACGCCCATGGATATATACCCATGATGACACCATTTCCTCCAACGATTTCGCAACGAATTGCCCATACCATATAGAATAAAACATTGTATATACTCTATATATATTTGTATACATTCTAAGTATATGGTCTATGTATTTTTTAAGTTTATTGTTGTAATATTTTATCTTTGGTTTAGCCGTGCTATAAGATAAATTTAAGTCTCGGTAAGATTTGTTTACCTCTACGCGGCCATTTTGTGACCAGATTTTATTGCAAATAAAAAAGAAATTCCACTTGGTTAATGGCTTCAGATGGAAGAAACGGTTAATTTTTGTTATTCTGATTTAACGTTTTGTTTTTATAATTCTAAAAATATGCGTATCGGGAACGGATTTTAAATTTAATTCCGGATTTAAATCCAGTGGCTGCCCGATAATATGGTATATAATATATTTATATTATAATAAAAATAAATATGTTATATATGTATATTATGTATATATAATTTGAGACGTTGACTGTTGTACTGAAAATTAGTAAACACAATTGCTTCATCTACAATTCATAATAAGACAAAAATTAAAAATTCACTAACTCCAGTATTTCGAAGTGTAAGACAAGTCCTTATCCGTAATCTAGTCTAATTTTTGTTTTAAATCATTTAATTAAATTAATGAATTTCACAGGAGATGAATCGATGGTGTGGCTGCCAACATTTTTTGGGAATCAAAAGGGGGCACCGTCATATGTGGCATATGATCATGAAGTTGTTATTTTTATTATATTTAATTATATTTGTTCATGTTTTATTTTAATTTTTTTCTATTATTTTGTTAAAATTTGATTGATTTCTGGTTATTAGTAATAACATTTTTTCAATTTAAAAAATTAAGGTTGATGATGATGATGCAGATGAGGGTGTAGCGGAAACACCACAGGCCCAGCAGGTTTTTGTTATTGCATAATTTTAAATTGGCTGTCTTTTTTATGATTTTATTTCAGTAAAATTTAATATTTGATTTTATGTTCTGCTTTTAAGTTGTTACCAAACATGTTTTAAAAGTCTCTGTGTGATGTATTTGAAGTTAATTATGAAAAAATCTTTTTTGCCGGTATATAGAATATTTGTTTGGTTCATTTATTTGATAATCTAACAAATTTTCATTTCAAATAAAAAGGATTTTGATCCGATGGCCGAGCACAGAGCTCCGACTATAGCAGAAAGAGAGGATGAATATTTGAGTCGGAGGAGAAATCTCGTGATTTCGCCTGCTAGACATGATCCTTTTGCTCCTGGTTCGTTTTGACAAATTTTCAGGCTATTTTTATATTTTTCATCTTTTTATATAAAATATTCATTCTGTGTGGCTGTGAGTGCATGTTCATTGGTGATAGTTTAATAATAAACCCAGTAAACCGAGTGCTAACAAGTGGAATAATTTTCCACGCAGCCCCACAAATGGCTTTATAACGAGAAGAAATCTCTCATGCATCTTGATCGACGCTTAGCTATCGATGATTTTCTTTTTTATTGTCAATGTTAATGCTTTTTTTTAATTAATTTACCATTAAAAATAAATTAAAAGTTAATTTAACTGATTAATATTTATTTTTTTTTGTCGGGTGTAATTATTGCTCACAGTTTCTTTACCATCCTTTTTTTAGATAAATGATTTGCAAACTGAACTTGTAGTATAATCTTTGTCGTATTCAGGTGAGAAGGTAGTCGTATAATATCAATGATGAATTAGTTTTAGATTAAAATAAAACTGAATTAATTAGTCTTAGTAGTGTGTGCATGTGATTGTATGGGAGAAAAATCTATTGAATTTTTTCTAGTTTTCTCTGATTAGGTTGCATTCAGGCCTTCCATTCAAGAGCACTCCCGATCGACGTGTGTTGGGAGTGGTGTTGGTGCGCAGTAGCGATGGTAAAATGGCAGTGACAGTCACCACACCAAATTTTTTTTTTGGATTTTTCTTTTCAAATTGTGTGCTTTTTTTTATCTCACTGGTGGTCATCATTTTGGAACTATCTGTTTATAAAAATGGCTGAAATGCATGTTTAAAAGGCATCTTTTCGAAATATCTCCAATTCAGGTGGTCAGACCCCAGATGTGTCATCAGAAAGAAGGACCTACGCTCGGATTATGACAGAAAATGAGCTAGAGAAAAAAAAGGTTACTCTCTATTTTTTCCCTCTTGTATCTGAAGTTCCATATTTTCATTTTAACCAAATGTTTATAAAATGTAATAACCAAATATAACTAAACATTCACAGAAAGGTCTTCAAGAACAAATGAAAAATAAGGCTCAAGATGGAACATTGACTACTGTTAATCAGCAAGCACAGCAGCAGCAAAAGAAGAAAAGAAGATGGGATCAAACAGTCGATGACACTCCAAAGGTCAAGAAAGGAGCCTATGATGATTCAGCTACCCCAGCTATTGGGCAATGGGGTGACACCCCGGGCAGATCTAGAGGGGCTGAAACTCCTGGGGCCACACCAGGTGGCAGTCAGAGAATGTGGGATGTGACACCTGGACATGCAACACCTGGTCACGAGACACCTGGTCGTGATGGCCAGATGACTCCCAGTGCCAGGAAAAATAGATGGGATGAAACTCCCAAAACTGACAGGGGTTTGTTAAATATTATTAGACATGATTTACATGTGCTCGGCTAAATGCTGCATATCAATATGTATAGAGTTTATAAATTTGAATGGGTTTATTAATTAAGTTTTGAAAATAAATTGCATAAGTGTTTGCAATAGCTTGTAATTTTAAAATTAAATTTCACAGAAACACCTGGACACGGTGGTGGCTGGGCTGAGACACCGCGCACCGATCGTACAGGTGTCGACCTCATTAAGGAGACACCGACACCTGGAGCCAGCAAACGAAGGTCGAGATGGGATGAGACACCTGCCAGTGCCACGCCTAGTGCTGCTACACCTGTCATTGCTACTCCAGGTATGTAATATCTTGTTCTATCTATCTATTCATTACTCAAGTATTTTCAACGGAAATGTTAGAACCTCTTTAAATTCCAATCCATTTTTAATAGCAATACTGATGACAACTAACAATTTGACTAACAGGTGGCACAACTCCGGGTGGTTCGACTCCAGGGGCGCTGACACCCAGTGCATTCACACCATCCGCAACCACACCAGTCGGTCCCAAAGCTATGTCCATGGCCACCCCAACACCAGGTCAGTTGTGAATGTTTCCATTGCTATTTGTAGTAAATATTTAAACTCGTTTCTGTATATATGTACATTTATATTTTTATTTTTTGTGGGTGTAATTGATTGCAGCCAGGATGTTGTAAATGTCTCCAGGCTAACTTTATTTACATTGAGGCATGTAACAATACTTGTTACAGGTCATGTAGTTCCAATGACTCCAGAGCAGATGCAGGCTTGGACATTGCAGAAGGAATTGGATGAACGAAATCGACCTCTCACCGAGGAAGAAATTGATGCTGTACTGCCCGAAGGTTTTAAGGTTATTAGCTGCTGCCACTGATGTTACGTTTCATTTGGTTGTTTTTTTCATTTACAAATTGCTCGGTTGTCTGCAAGATGTTTAAATGTTTGCAAAGACGGTTGTAAATTGAAGTGCATAATTTATGTTAATTTTTCATGATGATATCAACAGATCCTCCAACCTCCGGCCGGTTATGTTCCGATCCGCACCCCAGCTCGCAAGTTGACTGCCACTCCGACTCCCATTGCTGGCACTCCGACTGGGTTTAGGATGCAGACACCTGATTCCAGGACGCACGTCGTCGATCTGCAACCGAAGGGAAACCTGCCAATGATGAAGCCCGATGACATGCAGTACTTTGATAAATTACTGGTCAGTTTTTTGATGGCTCTATTTTAAAAGACAATATGACAACATTCACATGTGTAAGTGATGAAAAATAATGAACACACGAATATACACAACTGCTCACCACAGGTTGATGTTGATGAAGACAGTCTCCCACCAGAGGAGCAGAAGGAACGTAAGATCATGAAACTGCTGTTGAAGATCAAAAATGGAACACCTCCAATGAGGAAGGTCTGTATCCCACATTCAATCCAATATATCACACAATAGTTTTACCTATTTTGCACTTGTTTCTATTTATATTCCATTGTTTCTGCTTATTCTGTTGCAATTCATTATAAAATATTACTATAATTCACAGAGCTTCAAAAAGTCCTCTTGTTAACAGTACCTTAACTTTTAATGTTTTAATAACCCATGACTGTTTCTTGTCCTTTAATACTAATTTAAGCACAATTCCACTGTTTAAAATGGCCTTATTAGAAATAAAAATTTTAAAAATTTTTAAATATTTTGTTACTTGAATGTTTTCTGCAGGCTGCACTGCGTCAGATGACAGAGAAGGCACGAGAGCTGGGGGCCAACTCACTGTTCAACCAGATCCTACCATTGCTTATGAGTCCAACTTTGGAAGACCAGGAGAGGCATCTGCTTGTCAAGGTTTGGCATGATCACGTCACAAATGTTTCAAATGGCTTCTAGACTATTCTATCTACTAGATCTTTTGAAATATAAATTTTTTTAAATATTCCTGTTTTGTTACAAAAATGCATATTTATTTCACCTTATCTCTCATTGATTTAAACAGGTGATTGATAGGATACTATACAAACTTGATGATCTGGTTCGTCCGTTCGTGCACAAGATACTCGTCGTCATCGAGCCTCTCTTGATTGATGAGGATTATTTTGCAAGGGTGGAGGGCAGAGAGATTATTTCCAACCTAGCTAAGGTGAGATAGTGTACAAGTTTTTGTTTCGTTTTTTTTCGGTAACTTGTATTAACCAAGCCAGACAAATACAAATCACCTCTACACCAACTACTTTATACCTAAAGTATGTTATACCATATACCTGGAGCCAGCCACGCAAACATTTTACATAACTTTTTTCAACTACATTTACTCCTTTTACGTAACAATCAGGCTGCAGGCTTAGCTACCATGATCTCGACGATGAGGCCGGACATCGACAACATGGATGAGTACGTGAGGAACACCACAGCCAGAGCATTTGCCGTTGTCGCTTCTGCTCTTGGTATCCCGTCTTTACTACCCTTCTTGAAAGCTGTTTGCAAGAGTAAGAAGTCCTGGCAGGCTAGGCACACTGGTTAATTAGTTTCTGAATGTTGTCTACGTATCTAATTTGTCCTATCATTATTCAGTTTTACTGCGTTTTTTTCTGTTTTATTTTATGTATACGTGGTATTTCATTATCTTTTTTTTTATAATTTAAATTCACGAAATGGGATTATGGTTATTTGGAATTTTGATTTTATACTGTGTACAGAGGAGTGGTGAATTTTGTCTATTACGTGAAATCTTAATTGAAATTTGATGATATCGAGATACATCTCATCATTGTAGATATCTAAACGTTTTTAATGTACATACACCCAACAGGTATCAAGATAGTCCAGCAGATATCTATCTTGCTCGGCTGTGCAATCCTTCCTCACTTGAAGAGTTTGGTGGAGATTATTGAGCATGGTATGTGTGTGCTCGTTTGTTATTTCATATACTTTTTTTTCTCAAATTATTGACCATATACATTTATTTATAATTTTTTCATCCTTAAATTATTTTTGCTGAATGTAGTCAGATGTATGTGTATGTGTATATCTGATTTAATACTCTTTATTTCACATACACTTGCACATTTCATACTCTACAAACGCCTTATATATATATTCAGTGAACATTACACAATTACACGAATGCATGCGCTGCAGGTTTAGTTGATGAACAGCAGAAGGTGAGAACGATCACTGCATTGGCTCTGGCAGCTCTAGCAGAGGCCGCCACTCCTTACGGTATTGAGTCCTTTGACAGCGTCCTCAAGCCATTGTGGAAAGGTATCAGGCAGCATAGAGGCAAAGGATTGGCTGCTTTCTTGAAGGTAAAAATTTCAAATAATTTTTTTGTCTAATGTTTTTGTTTTATCAGTAGGCTTTGTCTAACGATTTTCAACTTTAATTTGTTGATTTAAATGATTGATTGATTGATTGGTTGGTTGATCTGGTTGGTCAATTGATTGCAGGCCATTGGATACTTGATTCCACTGATGGATGCAGAGTATGCCAACTACTACACCAAGGAGGTGATGTTGATACTCATTAGAGAGTTCCAGTCGCCAGATGAGGAGATGAAGAAGATTGTCCTCAAAGTTAGACTCCTTAAAACCTTCCTAGATTTCTCACTCACTATCCTTTTATATATCAATACCGAAATTGATCCAAAGTAACACTGACTATAACTTTCATACATCTAAACATTCAGGTAGTAAAGCAGTGCTGTGCGACGGATGGTGTTGAGCCGATGTACATCAAGGACGAGGTGCTTCCCCCGTTCTTCAAGTGCTTCTGGAATCAAAGGATGGCACTCGACAGGAGGAATTATAGACAGGTTATTTGGATGACTGGTTTTCTAATTGGTTATTGGGTTTTAGTGCTACGGTTGTTGTGTTTATTGTGATACGATATGCAATTTAGGATTAGTTCAATGTTAAATGTCAAGTATGTAAGCAAGCAGAAAATTGTAGGGTTATTTATATCATTTAGTGCTTACTGTGCCTAATACAAAATGTCTGAATCATTCATATTATTAAAATTAACACTAATCTGTGTCGTGACCTAGTTAGCTGAAATGTTAACAAATTTAAATATGAAACACTCGCAGCTTGTTGACACGACGGTTGAGATAGCAACGAAGGTCGGGGCCTCGGAGATCGTCGGTCGTGTCGTGGATGACCTGAAGGATGAAGCCGAACAGTACAGGAAGATGGTCATGGAAACTATTGAGAAGGTGAGTGAGTGAGTGAATGATTTAGTTGGTGAATGAATGGATGAATGTATGAATAATTAGTTAAACTATTTAGAGTTGCACTGGTTTTGTTTGTGTGTGTGGTGTGTGTGTGTGCGCACGTGTGTGTGTGTGTGTCATAAGAAAATGCTCTCAATGTAACAATGAATATTTATGAAATATGTATATTTAATGTAATGACATCACACCTGATCCTGCTTACTCCATCCAATCAGGTTATGGCAAACTTGGGAGCTACGGATGTTGACTCAAGGCTTGAGGAGCAACTCATTGACGGCATCCTCTATGCCTTCCAGGAACAAACAGCTGAGGTGTGCATACATTTTTGCATAGACTTTTACTTGAACATTTTTTTATTGTAGTTTGATTTCACTTGGATAAATTTTTATTCCACAGAATTTAAAATAGTTTGTATTTTCAAACTGGAAGACGTTTATAAACGAACGTATCAAATTTTTCATTGATATCAATTTTTTTTCAGGACATAGTCATGTTGAATGGGTTTGGGACAGTTGTGAATGCCCTGGGCAAACGTGTGAAACCCTACCTGCCACAGATCTGCGGTACAATTCTCTGGAGGCTTAACAACAAGGCAGCGAAGGTCAGGCAGCAGGCTGCAGATCTCATTTCCAGGATTGCCAACGTCATGAAACTCTGCCAGGAGGTCGCACTTCTATTTTGTTATTTCGTCCTTTTCGTTTGTAATTTAACAATTTTTTAGTATTTTGCCTAGAAATATTTTTTAATTTAGTGCTTGAATTTGATTTGACATTAATTTTTATTATATTTTTCAATCTTTTTTAACAGGAGAAACTAATGGGCCATCTCGGGGTTGTCCTGTACGAGTACCTGGGTGAGGAGTACCCCGAGGTATTGGGTAGCATCCTTGGGGCTCTCAAAGCTATTGTCAATGTCATTGGAATGACGAAGATGACCCCACCCATCAAAGATCTCCTACCTAGACTGACTCCCATCCTCAAAAATAGGTAGGTTTCTTGTTGTTGTTGTATAGTTAGATTCATGATAAGGCAGTTTTGTTTTGTGTGCAAATCTAGCAATGTATTTAATGTCGGTGATTGGTTTTTTAACGCATGTTGGATATTTAGTACGAGTTGATTATTATTTACCTTACAGGCACGAAAAGGTGCAAGAGAACTGCATTGATCTTGTTGGTCGCATTGCCGACAGAGGGGCTGAGTTTGTGTCAGCAAGGGAATGGATGAGGATCTGTTTTGAACTTTTGGAACTGTTGAAAGCTCACAAGAAAGCTATCAGAAGAGCCACTGTAAATACATTTGGGTACATTGCCAAAGCTATTGGGTGAGTAAACTCGTTTATTTTCTAATGTTCTTATCATTTTATTTTTTAATACTTCACATGTCAGAAACGTACGTACACAATATTAGATTATGCAACAACTTCAATTGTTACCACTGCTAAAGATAATTTCTTTTTTATTTAACATAAAAGAATTTTTAAAACATAATTTAAATCAAATTATTGAAACTTTCAGACCGCACGATGTTCTGGCCACTCTGTTGAACAACCTGAAGGTGCAGGAGAGACAGAACCGTGTTTGCACGACAGTTGCCATTGCCATTGTTGCCGAAACATGTTCACCGTTCACCGTTCTTCCCGGATTGATGAACGAATACAGAGTTCCTGAGCTGAACGTACAGAATGGCGTGCTGAAATCTCTGTCCTTCATGTTTGAGTACATTGGTGAGATGGGCAAAGATTATGTATACTCGGTGACTCCACTGCTGGAAGATGCCCTGATGGATAGGTCGGTGTCTGTTTGTATTTGTCGGTTTGTGTGATGTGGTTTATCTTCTTTGTCATTTGCAATGATTTATATTCTTATTTCAACGCTTTTTCATTTCACAGAGACTTGGTACACAGACAGACAGCCATGGCAGCCATAGGTCATTTAGCTCTCGGTGTCTATGGTTTTGGATGTGAAGATGCACTGACCCATTTATTAAATTACGTTTGGCCGAACGTCTTTGAGACTTCACCTCACGTCATCCAAGCCTTCATGTCGGCAGTCGAGGGCATGCGATTGGCACTGGGCCCTACTAAAATCTTGCACTACGTCAGCCAAGGTTTATTTCATCCTGCAAGAAAAGTTCGCGATGTTTATTGGAAGGTGTACAACTCCTTGTACATCGGCTCTCAAGATGCTCTCGTACCTGCCTACCCTCGCATATTCAACGATGATAAGAATCAGTACATTCGCTATGAGCTCGACTATCTACTGTAATTTTCAGTAACCTTTCCAACAGATATGTCTGTCTCCGTGTTGTATGTATATAGCAATATATAATTTGTTATGTTGAAGTTACAATGTTAACTCAGTTTGTCGTACAGTTTGAATGAACATTTAATCAGCCGATTCTTCTTCAAAAACCTAAAAACTTGTTTTTCAACGGTTCATTGATTAAGTACATGTGTTAAATACAATTCTCTTATTGAATTCACTCATTGGTTGGTTTGGGATATTACGTTAGACGAAATTCGATCAAAATTTTCGTTGCACGAATGAATGGAATGTCATACAATGAAATGTATAATTTATCGGTTTTAGAATTTTTTTTAACTACACGAATCACTTGTCTTATTGTTTGTAAATGGAAATGAAAAAAATTTGTTCTTTAATTCATTTGTTGCTTGATGGCTTGTGGAAGGAACGAGACAGCGGATCGAAGTAAGGTTCGATTGTAATTTACTTGTGGTGATGTTACTTGTTTTTAAAATTTTGAATCCTATTTTCAATCAACATGATGATTGTTACTACTGCTATAAATGTGTATAAACTACTTTTGAGCTCCAATCATCTCCGTACAAATCTAGCGTACAATCCTTTCTCAAACATGCAGACGTTTTGTAAAAATGTTAAGGTTATTCAATTTACAACATGCACCTCTGGTTTGTTCGAATATTTAGTAATTTTCACTTCTTATAAATTATGTTTGTTAAATTTAACGTCTAAAAAAGATTATGTTTTTAATTTTTTTTAAAGAATGTCAGAATGGGTTGGTATTGATATACAAGTTCTATATATATATATATATATATATATATATATATATATATATATATATATATATATATATCATTTGTTATTAACATATCGTCAAAATTTCAAGATAAAAAATATGGTTTGTCGTAAAAACTGTTCAAATAAAGAATAAAATTTCACAAAGTTAGAGAGCCAGGTTTGGAGGTTATAAACTTCTCACATCAGTTGGAACCTCACAAAGGATAAAACGGACCATCGGATGGAAGTATCGGATGAATTCCCATTTAACATTTCTTCTTCTTGCAGGCAGTGTTTCTCGAACGACTGCGCTTCGACTTCGACTTTGCACAGCTGCTTTTTTTCTTCGGCTTGCAGGCAGCCGATCCTTTGCAACGACTGCTACCTCCTTTGCGTGCCACAGGCTTTGCGACGTTGTTACATTTCTTCTCAGTGGCTGCTGTCTGGTCGTCATGCTTTTTGATCTCCATGTCTTCGCCTTCGTCTCTGTAGTTAACAACTTGATCGCTACTATACTCGGAGGTTTTCGCTACAAGACCGTAGAAGTTATATAAGAGTTCTTTCAAAGTCGATCTTTCAAAGTGTTGATCAGATTAAAAACGAGATAAATGATATTCTGGAAACTATGGAAACATTGAATCTTGCGTCATATTTTCATTATGTAATTGGAAAAACAATAGAATATGTAGTTATTTTTAATTTGTAAAAAAATTATAGATATTGTTATAAGGGATAACAATTTTCGATGAATGTTTCATACCGTTCTGACAAAATTTCATTCACGTCATGAACAACACGTAAATTTGTTCAATCGTAATCACGTGCGTATAAGTGTGTGTTTTTTGTATATTTGTTTGTTTGTGTGTGTGTGTTTGTTTGTATTGGTGTGTGTAAATGTTCTTTTGTGTCTCTAAGACAGCTAACTATTGTTGGAGACAGTTTTACAACGGCCACTGATATTCATTTGTAATGTGGTGCCAGGAGTTATTTAACATATTAATACATTGCTCGCTGTGAGGTTTCATTTAAGTGCTTTTTATTCTTCGAAACGCAATACATATGAATACATAGTTATATATGTACGTATGTATGCATAAACGTATGCGTGTGTGTGTGTCTGTATTAATGTATGTCTGTCTGTATGTATAATATATGTGCATATATAAATAGATAAATACTTTTTAAAGCAATTTTAATTAGCATAATCTTAGATATAAGCACGGCTCACTTTCAATAGGTTTCAACTTTCTTCATTCTAGCGGCACTTCATCATAGAGTTTGAGAAGATGATGTCGAATTTAATCATTCCATCTGTTATCCTCTCATCCCTGAGTTAGTATTCAAGCAAAAGTTATTTAATTACCTAATTTCTTTGAATATTTTTCAATCCTCTTCAAGTATTCTTATTCCCAACGACAACAACCGGACAAGATAATCCTGGCTACGTTACGGAGTTCAAATACATAAGATCAGCAACAGCGGAAATAGAATGTTTGTCGGGAATAATCGATCGAAACGTCAACGTGACGTCATCTGACATCAAATGGACGCACAACAACCTTACTATCATGATATCTCAATCTAACGCCTCGAGATACACTTCATATCAAGAATTTAGGATAGATGATAAAATGCTGGGAGAGTTTTTTGGATACGCGTTTATCCTGAAAATTAGAAACGTCACCTTTAGTGATTCCGGAATTTACTCGTGTTCCTGGTCTGAAAAGGTTTCAAATAATAGTAACATTGGCACTGGTGTTGGTAACAAGACCAAATTAATGGACCTCACTGTCGTCGGTTAGATGGTGTTGTTTGTTTCGAAGGATTTTTATCATTTCTTAGTTTTATTGGTATAAATAAAATATTTCTCTCTCTCTCGCTCTCTCTCTAATATTCTCTCTCTCTCTTTACATCCATTATTTCCTTGACAATAAAATAAAATACTTGAAAAAAAATAAAACTGTCTAGAAAGTTGTCCATCCGACGAGTGGAACTGCTTGAATGGCCAATGTATAGAGACCGATGGTAGATGCAATGGTTTCACTGATTGTATCGACAAGTCAGATGAGCAACTAATTAATTGCGGTATGTATATATTCTTTCGTGATATTTTCTGGGTTTTGTTTTAAAATTTTAAAATTATTCAACCTAGGCACTATTTTGTAACATTATTTGCACTGTCAGCAACTTTAATTTTTAAAAATGTTAAGTTTTATCAAAGATATATCTATAGTAATAATAATTATTATTATTAGAACAAACAATATTAATAATAATAATTAAATATTACTAATTTATCGAAGCATAAGAATAATAATTATATTATTTTTATTCGATATTACAAGGTGGGAAGTGTTCTTCAAACAGCTTCACGTGCATGAACAAGACCTGCCTAAATGTCAACTTCAAATGTGATGACGTTGTGGATTGTGAAGATGGCAGTGATGAACTCAACTGTACTAATGGTAATACTACTACTGCTGCTGCTGCTGCTACTACTGCTGCTGCTGCTACTACTGCTTCTGCTGTTGCGACAACTACTGCTGCTGCTGTTGCTACTACTACTACTACTGCTACCACCGCTACTAAAACTAATGAGGATAATTATAATACATAAGTTGTATAGCACTTTCTTTATATGTAATCAGGCAAAAAAACAACGATTCCATAAGTAGAGTACATTGGTGAAGGACCGCTTTGCATTCGAACTCACTTACTGCAACACAAGAGGCGGGCATACAAAAAAAAACATACAAAACAAACAAACGGGCAAACAAACTAAAAAAACGTTTTTCAAACAATTTAAAATGACAAAATCTTTTCAACAGGAAAGCAGGGCGGGAAGTTTTATTGTGGATCTGGAGAAGAGATAGATGTGCAGAAAGTCTGTGATGGCATTTTTGATTGCACAGATGCCAGTGATGAGAAAAAGTGCAATAGTTAGTTAGGTGGTGGGCTGCTAAAATACATATATAATTAACAATTAAAACATTTTTTTTTTATAACTTCATAAATAATTCTACGGATAGACTTGTACCCATCGGTTAACGTTCAATAAAAATAAATATTTTTACGTTAACCTTTACACTACACGTTAATGTATATACACACGTACACACACACACACACACACACACATACAGCATCGTGTCCAACAAATTATTTCCGATGTGGAACCAAAGAGTGCGTCAACAATGACAGCAAGTGTAATGGTATAGCGGATTGTAAAGACGGTAGTGATGAAATATTTTGTGGTTAGTATGTGTGTGTGAGTGAGTGTATGTGTGTGTGTATGTGTGTGAGTGTATGTGTGTGTGTGTGTGTGCGCGCGCGCATGTATATTTTTTCCAATGTAAAAAGACATAGGCAGTCGCTGCCCGGACGGTTTGTTTAAATGCCAGTCTACCGAATGCCTGCGTAGAGAGCTGTTTTGTGATAGGAAGGTTGATTGTCTGGATGGCTCAGACGAAGATGGATGTGGTGAGTTGGTTGGTTTGTTTTGATCGAATGACTGGCCGTCTGGTTGAGTGATTGACTGCTTGAATGACCGACCGATAGACCGGCTAATTGACTGATTGGTTAATTGATCGTTCGTCCGATTTGTCGATTGATTGGCTGGTTAGTTGATTGGTCGGTTAGTTGATTGGTCGATTAGTTGATTGGTCGATTAGTTGATTGGGCGGTTCATTGAATGTTTCACTAAATCCTTCTACTTAAATATTGATCAATGAACACTGATATAACAAATTATAAACTAGAATCTATTTATTTTTACTTGAATCACAAATTACTTATTTTTATCTATCAAGATGGCGAGCCATGCCTAGCTACGCAATTCAAATGCAGTTCTGGAACCTGCCTGAGTGCCAACGTTAAATGCGACGGTCAGAAAAATTGCTTGGACGGAAGTGACGAACTGTCGTGTCCCGGTATGTGTTTCTGTCTGTTTGTGTGTGTGTTTATGTTTGTGTGTGCGCGTGTGTTGTGTGTGTGCGCGTCTGTGTCTGTGTATACAAACATACACGTATCTGTATAAATAAGTATGATTTTTTTCTGATTTCCTTTAATGCAAACAGGCCCAAAACTGCTTTTAAAAATTAATTCCTATCTAAGCTAACGTGATTGTGTGATGTTTTTTTTTGGCGGTTACAACATCATCAATCCCATTTTAAAAAGCATTAATATTTAAACACACACGAAATTCCAAATAGTTGTTATAAGGTTTTAATGTTCGCGATGTCAAATGATTTAAATCAGCGGTTCTCGACTTGTAGTCCGCGGATATTTGCCTGGTGGTTTGCCAGCAAAGTGTGAAGTGCAAGTTTTTTTTAAATAAAAAAAATGAAAAAGATGAACTCCGATTGAGTCTTCGAGCATTACGCCCCGTTTGGATAAGCTATGCTCAACTGTGCCAGCTCCTCAAGGCTCACACTAAAATTAAATGTAGCATCATTTCTAATGTAGTTGGCTCGTTAAAAAACCACCCGTTTATCATTATTCATTATTGTTAGCAAGTAACATTTGTTCATTGTAAAAGATTCAATGACAATTTGTTTCATTTTTTACATAAAAATTGATATGTCAGATACGCCGTGAGATACGCTGTATGCAAACATCAACGAACATTAACACAACGTAAAACGAACATTATACTTTTTAATTTGAAGTTAGAACATTTATTAAAATATATAATAAATGATTTTAAGTAACAATTTTAATACACCTCTATAGTCAAGTGTGATAACTTTAGTTCTCTAAGTCTAATAGTCACACTAAGAACTATGCTATACTAACTACGTGTAGCTGATAGGGTACGTCACCATATGAAATTATAATTATATATATATATATATATATATATATATATATATATATATATATAAGTCTCAAATGCGATAGTAGCAAAATTTTCAGCAGTGGTTCGCGGCTGAGATACACACATTTTTTAAGTGTTCTGTAAATCTCAAAAGGTTGAGAAGTGCTGATTTAAATGACAAACGTTATAGCTGAAAAATGTTGTCATTTCTAGGTCTTCAACTGAATTTGAAGGATTGACAATTGAACAACTATGTAAAAAAACATACCTACGTACTTAATTTCATGCAAAGAAACCAACCAACCAACAAACAAACAAACATGCAAACATGCAAACATACAAACATGCAAACATACAAACAAACAAACAAACAAACTGACAAACATTCATACAAACAAACAAACAGGGAAAGAATGCAAAAACTTTGAATTCAAGTGTTCCAATGGTATCACTTGCATCAACGTCACCCTGAGGTGTGACGATAACGACGATTGTGGTGATTACTCTGACGAAATGAATTGCGGTGAGTGAGTGAGTGAGTGAATGAGTGAGTGAATAAGTAAATAAATGAGTTAATGAATAAATGAGTGAATGAATGAATGAATAAATGAGTGAATGAATGAATGAATAAATAAATCGTTCATTCGAATTGCTACGAGTGAAAGAGTAAGTCAATGATAAATAAAGAAATGAATGTAGGAATTTAGGAATAAACAACAAATGAATGCATAAGAAAGTGAATTATTCATTCATTCATTCATTTATTTTCTACTTAATCACTCACAATCTGTACTACACACACACGCGCGCACACACACGCACACACCCACACAGCGTCAAACGGTCAGTGCCTTCCACACACATTCAAATGTGTCTCGTCCAATTACTGCCTGCCCGACCGGCTATACTGTGATGGCAACGATGATTGCTTGGATGGCTCGGATGAAGCTTACTGCTGTATGTTCATCTTTGAAATAAATTTATAATAATTATAATAATTTTAATAATAATAATTATAATTTACATCAATTTTAAAAATTAGGGGTAGAATTAGTGAAAATAAAACTCAAGCTAAAAATGATTTTTTGAAGTTTTCATGAGAAAGGTGCCGAAAGCCCAGGAGTAAGTAGCCTACCCCATCTAGCTACACTCCTATCTCTTACTAAATATTATCAGATAATTTATTTCTTTAAATCCGTTTTATTCTTAAAAATTTTAAAACATCAGACCGACGCATCGAGGAATTTTAGAAAATTTAAAACTTCAGATTCCGAGAACTGCGCGCCGAGCCAATTTCAATGCCCCGACAATCAGAACTGTATAGACATTAAATTGAAATGTGACGGAGTCAAACATTGCGCGGACGGGAGCGACGAAAATAAGTGTTCAGTGGCGAACGCTACTGCTGCTACTACTACTACAGCTGCTATTACTACTACAGAAGCTACTACTACAGCTGCTACTACTACTGCTACTGTTATCAATGAAAATGAAGGTATAATTTTGGTGTAATATTCATTCATGTACGAGGTGTGTGTTTAGTTGATATTTTTAAAAGTCATTTAAGGAGGAAATAATATAAAAATTACTGACGCTTACTACTACTACTGCTGCTGCTACTGTTATTATGACTACTACTACTGCTGCTGCTACTGCTATTATGACTACTACTACTGCTGCTGCTACTACTGCTGCTACTATTGTAGTACTACAACTAATAGTACTATTACTACTGCTAGCAATTATTATTGAACACCTATCATTTTTTCAACCAACTTTCAACATTTCAAACAAAATTCTAATTAAAAATGTCGGCCGACTTTATTTGACGAAAAAAAATCTTGTAAAAAAAATTCTACATCAAAGTTTTATTTATTTAGCATTAAGAGATCGGTTTGTGTAAATATTAATTAACATTTCAATAACAAGAAGAATAACAATAATAAGAATAAAAATTGGGTTTTTCTAGATAGAGATATATAAAATATTTAATTTAAATAACTCTTTCGTTGATGACGCTTCTATTGTAAGACAGGGGTGGGCGAACTACAGCCCGCGGGAAGCTATTTTATGCGGCTCACGGGCTTTGTTCGCCAAAAAAATTGTCGTCAGCCAGACATTATGGCCAAAAGGCACCACAAATCTTAAAAAATTCTTCTCCGGGTCAAAAAAATTTGCTATTTAAGTACATACGCGGCCCTTCAGATGTAAAATAGTTCTCAATGCGGCCCTCACGGCAAAAAGTTTGCCCACCCCTGTTGAAAGGTATTTTTCAATGAATAAAATATTAACAATTAAATAATGATTCATTGATAATAGTATTACTGCTGCTACTACTACTGCTACTACAACTACAGTCACAACTACCACTACTACATTCTAATGTAACATTTCGACAGTAACAAGCGGCCAATGCTTACCTGGCCAATTGAAATGTTCGTCTGAAGACAAGTGCGTTAATGAGCTGAATGCCTGCGATGGTGTGGAGGATTGCACGGATGGATCGGATGAAAGAAACTGCACAGCTGGTCTGCTGTTATAATTCTTTTAAAATATTATGAAATTATTAATTCATAATTATATTTATGATAGTAATATTATTGTTTATTTAATAGCTGTTCTTAATGTATACTCACTTAACAGTTGCTTGTCAAGGTGATGAGTTTCGGTGTCAGAATATGCAGTGCATAGATCTGAATGGCTTGTGTAATCAGTTCTTCGACTGTTCCGATAATTCGGATGAATTTGACTGTCCTGACATTAATAACCACATCAATGCCACATACGTTAATGTAACGAATATTAATGCGACCAGCATCAATGCAACCGGCATCAATGCGATAGACATTTATGCGGCCAACATTAATGCAACTAACATTAATGCAGTCAACATCAAGGCAGCCAACATTACTGCAGCCAACATCACCGCGACCAAAATTTATGTAGTCAACGTTTATGCAGGCAACATTTCTGCAGAAAACATCACGGTGGCCTACATAACTGCAAGCAACATCTATGCGACCGTTCTTAGTGCAGTCAACATCAATGCAACCAACATCACTGCAACCAACATCACTGCAACCAACATCGCCGCAACCAACATCATCGTAGCCAACATTCATGCAGCTAACATAACTGCAGCCAACGTGTATGCAACCAACATTTATGCAGCCAACATCACAGCAGCTAACATTTCTGCAGCTAATCTCATGGCAGCCAACGTCACTGCAGCTAACATCACTGCAGCTAGCCTCTATGTAGCCAACGTTACAGCAACCAACATCACGGCGACCAACATAACTGCTAACAACATTTATGCAGTCAACCTGACCGCAGCCAACATAATTGCAGACAACATTTACGCAAACAGCATCGCTGCAGCCAACATCACGGCAGCCAGAGTCTATGCAACCGACATCAATGTAGCCAACATCACTGCATATATTGTTTATGCAGCCAGTATTATGGCTGCTAACGTCAATGCAGCCAACATTTATGCAGCCAACATCACTGCAGCCAACATCACTTCAGCCAACATAACTACAACCAACATAACTGCAGCCCGTGTTTATGCAGCCAACATCATCGCAACCAATATCACTGCAGCTAACATTTATGCAGCCAACATCGCTGCAGCCAGCATTTATGCGGCCAACCTCAATGCAACAAACACCACGGCAGCCAACATTTATGCAGAAAATGTTACTGCAGCCAACATCGCCGCAACCAACATCATCGTAGCCAACATTCATGCAGCTAACATAACTGCAACCAGCTTGTATGCAACCAACATTTATGCAGCCAACATCACAGCAGCTAACATTTCTGCAGCCAACCTCGCTGCAGCCAACGTCACTGCAGTCAACATTTTAGCAACCGACATCAATGCGGCCAACATTTATGCTGCCAACATCTATGCAGTCAACATAACTGCAACTAACATTTATGCAACCAACATCACTGCAACCAACATCAATGCAACCAACATCATTGCAACCAACATCACTGCGACCAACATCACTGCAACCAACATCATTGCGACCAACATCACTGCAACCAACATCACTGCAACCACCATCATTGCGACCAACATCACTGCAACCAGCATCACCGCAACCAGCATCACTGCAACAAATATTTTCGCAAAATATATCAACTCAACGTATGTCTTCGCAAAATTCATCAATGCTTCATACATTTACGCCAAATACATCAACGCTACATATATCTACAACGCTACTACAAAGACGATTACTTCAACAACTGTTCAATGGAATTTAGCTCCAGTACATGCTGACACGAAATTATTCCAGATCAGTTTGATTTTCATAGCTCTGATGAGAGTGTTCAATTAAAACGAAGTTCACAGATTATCTTAGATGAATTATTTTTTTACGATTTTAACGAAGTTCACAGATTATCTTAAATGAATTATTTTTTTACGATTTTAACGAAGTTCACAGATTATCTTAAATGAATTATTTTTTTACGATTTTAACAAACGAATCAAATTTATTTACTTGATGTTATGGTGATGACGATGATGATGACGACAATGATGACGATGATGATGATCTTACTTGTGTGATTGATTATAATTTGTATAATATTTTTTATGATTTTTGTTGTTGGTTTTAACGTTTATACCATATATTTCGTTTGTTTTAATAAATGCATATACATACGTACATACACTCACGCACATACACACACATACATACATACATACATACACACATACATACATACAATACAATACAAACTTTTCAACGAATTGAATGCTAACACACAACAAAGATAAGTATATTACATTTTGCATGAATAACATTAAATTGATAAAAAATTGAAAATTTCTTTAATTTTTCGATTTTAAACGCAAGACGATCCCGGCCTATAACATGCAATGTATAGAAGTGCCTGGGTTCAAATGCACTGCGATCCATTTTGTGTTGGTCGTTGATACGTCTGAGAGTTAGTTAGAAAAAAATTATTGCTAAAAATTGTTTTTTATTAAAAAATTTTTACTGAACAACTTCATTTTATAATGTTTTTAATATTATTTTTATATTTTGATAAATAAAGTTTAAAAAATTGAAAATCTCGATAATTTTATTACCATCGTTCGTTCGTGCATCTAAAAACATAGGAGCGTTCTAACTCACCTGTAGTGTAAACAAGATTCTACCTGTGCCTGTGTATGTGTGTTTGTATTTTGAAGACTCTATGTATACTAGTTCCTTAGAAAGGAAGATTTTTTGGGATTTTAGTGATAATTTCAGTTTTAATTTCTTAATTCTTCGATGAATTAACTCTCCGAAAGTTGTTTTAAACTTTATGGTTTGTAGATTTTATCGCAATTACATAGGAGCAACTTGATATCTGTACTGTTCTTGGATTGAAAGGGTTGGTTCTTTAAATGGCAAACAATTTCATTCAAAATCGTTTTGGCTTAATATTTTTGAAAAGCAGTCGGTTTAGTCCCATCACAATTAATATGTATATTACGTATGTACATTTTTCTTATTATTATTATGAAATAATTTATAAACAATAAATAAAATGACCCTAAATCAATTTTTTCAAGATGAATGGGAAACTTCCCACCTCGGCGTTCATGTTGGTGACGTCACTTGCTTACGTCATTTTTGCTCAAGTCGACGATTCAATAACGTACGAATTGGCGGACGTTGGGGATGATTTAACCTTGAAATGCGCACTGCAGCTAGCAAACAACGACCAAATTAATTGGAACAACCCAAAAGGGAAACTGATAATTGCTAATGATAAATTTGTTTTCGGCACAAACAGCTCGAACCCGTCAGCCGGTTCTAACAATTATAACACGATGACGATAACCGATCTCAGTCTGCAGGACGCTGGCCGTTATACGTGTCAAGCGAGCAGTGATAAGTCTCTCAAAACCATCGTGGTTGTTGTTTTTGGTAAGATTATTTGTTTCTCATAGTTTTTACAAAGAATAGAATATTTTAAACATTTTTGTATATAGAATATGTTGCAGAGGATAATTCCCTACGTTAATTGACACATGTTTCAATTCAGATACTGTGAAAGTTTGGGTAGATCCAACTCAGGGATTGAAAGTCGGCGATCCGATGAGAATAAACTGCACAGTGACATACAGTATAGAAAAATTATCAACTTTAGCCCAGCGATTGACTTTCGTAATTAGCGTTGGTAACCAGCAGCTGACCACAATGGAGTCAAGTTCGCCTGATACCACCGCTTCTGGAACTGTCAATAAGTGGATTGTAAGCCAATTGTGTCATTACTATCATTAACTTGTTCCAAATTCTTTTACGGCTTTTGCAAAATTTTACAAGGTCTTTTAAGGAATCTTGCAACAAAAAATTTTTTCAGAAAAAAGAATAATAACTGTGGAATTGATGTATTACCTATGTTCAACAAAGCATAACTTACTCGCTTTTGTATATATACACACATAGATTGTTAATTGCACGCTGTATGTGATTTATGTTTGGTAGACATGCATTTGAACCAGGTGAACATGCAGCAAATTGTTTTTAAAGAGACAAATTAGGACACTTCTACCTATCTATTCAAATGTTCTTGGCAGGCAAGCGTAGATCAGTTACTTATTTGTGACGTAACTATTATAGATTAAAAAGTTGGAAAATATTGTTAATTCAAATCTTTTTAGTTTTCACAAAAATATTATTAAATCCGAACTTAACGTTCAACTTTTAAAATCCTCCCACCGAAAGTCATACAACACCACCGCCACCAACGAGATGAAGACCAACAACATAACCTGCCTCCTGCAAACAGACGATAATTCGTACTCTCAGGCTGGATTTGGAAGGGCCAACATACCATGTATGCTTTTTTTTAATTTCTGTATAAAGCCCAATATGAATTTTTTGATAATATTAAAACTACTGCTGCTGCTACTACTACTACTACTGTTGCTGCTACTACTATCGCTACTACAAGTGTTACTACTTCTAGCCACAAAAAATTCTCACAGTCGCTCCAACGGTCTCCGACATACAAGTCCTCAACATGCAAAGATCCTACCAGGCGAAAGATGTCGTACAATGTTCAATAATCAGTAACCCACCATCTACCGTCACTTGGATCCTTAATGGTACCGGTTTAACTAATTGTATTGGTAGCACCTCCAACAATCCTGGGACGATTTCTTCTGGACCTGGCTACTCTACACTTAGTTTTAACTGCCTAGGAACTCAAACTTGGATCTGCACGGGTCGTTATCAGAATACAGATGGCATTATGGTTAACGTTAATAAGACGTTTACGTTTTCAGGTAGGGTTATGTGTGTTTGTTTGTGTGTGTGTTTGTGTGTGTGTATGTGAGAATGTGTGCTGGTTTTGTGATGAGTAATTCATTTTACTGTGTTCGTGTGTGTTGGTTTTATAATGAGGATGATAAGTAACTCGTTGTAGTTTTGTTGTTCTACGTTTAATGATAGAGTAACATCTTTTGTGTGTTATTTTGGTTGAAATTTTATGAAAATGATGGTCATTATATATAAAAAAATGAACTTTTTTTTGTGTTAATATAGTTGAAATATTTTGAAAGTTATGGTTTATGTATAAAAAGAACTAAACAATTCTTTAGTGCTCGATTCAAACAACAACACAGTCGTGCCCTCTGGAGCAGTTAACAATGGAAAGCCAAGTTTGTGTTTTATTTTTTCTTAATTTTATCATCATATTATTATTATTTTTATTTAATTTCTCAATAAATTTGATCTTACGTTTTGTATAAGGCATCATTGGAAAGAATGAAGGTGTATTAAGTTACGCCGGCACGCCGCATTGCTACATTAGCATAAATTATTTGTTACAATATTACGATGACAAAAAATTTCTAGTTGATGCGGTTGGCATCGGCGTCGGTGTTGGAGTTGGCGTCGGAGTTCCGCTACTCATCGGCCTCATCCTGCTCATCTGCTGTCTCAGCAAAAGTATTTCATCTCATCTCAATAATTTTCAAATTTTCAACACGGATGACACATTTTCCACTCATAATGTTTTCGTGAATTGCAACGTGCCATAATCTTTTCTTTTTACAATTTATTCAATTTTTAAGGTTAAATAGGAATAATCCAGATTTTTACTTTACTACACATCACACGCATCGATTAAATTTAAGGAAAAAGCGAGGCCAAAGACGCAAAGAAAAAGCCTCCTCTAAAAGAGCAACAAAAGCAGCCGACAAAAACGCAACAGCAGCCGCAGCAACCTAATCCTTACAAACCAAAAAATGCGACTGTGAGTCTCCAGGCAAATCCTGCCTTCCACGCCCCACCAGTTTTGACCCAACAAATGAACCCTAACGGACAACCGGTAACCGTTGGAGCCCCTGGTTTCCCTGACATCGGGGTGAAACATTTGGGGGGTAGCGGGAGCATCCCTCAGCTGAATGAATCTTACGATAACCAGGCCTACCAAAACACAGTCTCCGCCAATAATGTTAAAATTGATTTCGGGAAAGCCGCTCTGGGTGGGGTGACAAATATTTGAATTCCCTCCCCCTCTCTTTTTTTCTCACTTTCTCACTCTCTCTCTCTCTCTCTAGCTTTTTCTCTCCTCTTTTAAATTTAAAATTATCAATTGAATATGCTGAAATTTTAATGATCTTTTTATATATGAGTGAATGACTTAATGAATGAATGATTGAATGATAAATAATTAATTGATTAATTATATGGTAATAAAATCCATGCATTTATTTTATGTATCATACATTTTTACAAACTAATATTAATCATTAGAAGATATCTACTTCTGTTTTTATATGCCCATGTAAGATTTTATGTAATCTATATCAAGAATGATGTATGTGTGTTTGTGTGTGTGTGTGTGTGTGTGTGTGTGTGTGTGTGTGTGTAGCAGCATTGTTTTACATAATGATATACTCAAATATTTTTATCTTTACAAGTTATTGCTAACAGTTTTTTGATTTGTTTGAAATCTTCGCAAAATTTATAATAGCTATATCTTGCTTACATTACATTTGACGTGATCTTATATCTTGATATCTTATATCATATATCATTGCCTTACGAGGCATGTATAAATTGTTCTTTATATGTAAGAATTTTCTGTTGTTATTATTATTATTATTATTGTTTATTGCGTCATCGTTGTTGTTTTTTTGTTTTGTTTACTGCATAGAATTTATTTATTAATTCCATTTTATTTCTCTTTTTTGTTATTGCTTTTGATGGTCATGTAGTTTGAAAAATTTTCCAGATCCGAGTTCCGAATTTCTGAAAATTTCTTAAACTATTGCAACATAATTTCATCTTACTGAATAGAAAAAGACCCTTTAGAAGAGTCTTAAAAATACCTTCAAAAATTCCAATTCCAGCCAAAATCTCAGACCTATACAAGTTTGGTTGACACCACGGAGGAAATGGCAACAAAAGAATTGTATAGAGAATTTTAAAAATTCCATACCCATCTACTTAAGCTGTTTTGTTTCACTAGTTTTTCTTCTTTTTTTTTCTTGAATACAGATCAAAATTGAACAGTGTGTGAGTATGCGTGCGTGTTTGTGTGTGTTTGTGTGTATGATTCTGCAGCATTCTACATTCAGTTGATTTGTAACCTTAGCCTTACACACTCATGCGCACACATTCGTGCACACACACACACACACACACACACACATGCATACTCACACAACCACACACATGCATACTCACACACACACACACACATCATATACATATATATATATATATATATATATATATATATATATATATATATATATATATATGTATGAGTTGCATTTTTTATGTAAAATTTGACCGAAGCAAAGCTTTACATATAGTAACTAACGAACGATAATAACTAAAACTACAGCTATTTTTTGTTGATTGACAGATCTTTAAATGTCACATAAATATATAAAAGTATACATATATATACATATGAGACACACACACACACACACACACACACACACACACATATATATATATATATATATATATATATATATATATATCTTATATATCTATGTTGACAGCATGACATAAAGAAATTTATATTTTGTTGTTGTTTTTTATATTATGAGTTAAATTTATTATATTATTACAATTATTACTCATTAATATTACTTCTATTATCGTTATGAGTTAAATTTATTATATTATTATAATTATTACTCATTAATATTACTTCTATTATCGTTATTGTTGTTTGTGACGTCACGCTCATATTCTAACGCCTCAGCATCATCATTTGGTTACTCATTGGGCAGTTTTCAATATCTTGTCGGTTCAAAAATTTGATCGTTCACATGTCGTGTTTAATAATAATATTAGTAATAATAATATTATTTTTATTATTATTCTTATTCTTCTTATTATTATTATAATTGTTAAATCATAACTCACAAATAGTTTTTATAAAGCAAACTTTTTATTTCTTCAAATAATTCGTCTGAAAGTTCCCTAGTTTAGTTAGCATAGAAATAAGAATGGAATGCTGATTTATTATTAATTAATTAATTAGAATAAGTTATTTAATTTTTGAATATTAATGACAAGGTCTAAAAAATAATTTAATTTAATAATATAGTAAGCCATGAAATTCATTATAAATATGTCAGCGGATGGATATCTGGAAGCCGAGTGATTTAATTAAACATTCAGTCAACCATTCAATCAACCAACTATTCAACCATCCAACAAGCAAACTAATCAATCAATCCACCAACTAACCAACAATCAATCAACCAACCGACCAATCAACCAACCAGCTAACGATTCAATCAATCAACCTACTAACTAATCAACCAACTAATCAACCAACCAACTAATCAACCAGCCAACTAATCAACCAACCAACCATCCATCCAACCATTTAACCAACCAACCATCCAACCAACCGACAAATCAAGAGAGAGATATTTAAAGTCAGCAAAATTAAAATAACGATTGCACTATTAAAATGTTCAAACCTAAAAATAGATTGATGCTGTTTTGTATCTGTGATAAGATTGATGATGTTTGTTGCTTGTGTATGTGTGTGTGTATTTGGTGAATGAATTCATGCACATATGTGCATGCATTTCCTGCTTAAATGATGTGTATATTTTTGTCTGTGTGTGTGTAAATTTCACGTACATACGCATTTGTGTTTTATTTATAAATGTGGAGATGTATGTTTTCTTCTACATATGTTTATTTTTATTCAATATAATTTGAGTGTTGTATGTATGTTCGTTGTTTTTATTGTATATATATATATATATATATATATATATATGCATGTATTTCATGTATATGTGTGTATTTCATCTATATCATGTAAATATGTATGTACTTCGTGTTACATATATATATATATGTATATGTGTGTGTGCGTGTGTGTGTATTATGTATGTGTGTATTTTTTTATCGCATGTCTCGAATTAGGATCGAGCCATGCTATCGTCCTTTTGAAAAGGATTTGAATTTAACGTTCTCTATGTAACACGCACGCACGCACGCACACACACACGCATAATCAAAAGAGCGGTAAATAGTAAGTAGATTATTTACATATTATTACTCCAGTAACTATATGTAACTATATTTTTCGTATATATGTGCGTGTGTGTGAGTGTATCTCGATTGTTTTTACGAATTTTTTGCTTCTCTTATATCTATACCGGTTACCAAGTTACTAGGATACCAGATACCAAGATACCAGCAAGATACTATGATACCAAATACTAAGGTAGCACATAAGGTATTGATACAATACAAATGGAATAAGAAATTTTAATTTGGATTCAACGTTCCACAATATGAAATAAATAAGATAAGCCCATGCGTGTAAGATTAACAAGTGCATATTTTTCAATTAAGGGATTGATGATCATTACAAATTATATTACCATCCCAACCAGTGTAAGACATTTTTCGTTGTCAGGCGGCCAAATGAGTTCAGTTGGCTAATTAAAATTTGAGATATTCCTCTCAATAACGGTTAGGCAGTTCGATTCTTATGATTAAAAGAACTATCTATAACTAACATTTATAACTAGATGGCATTTTTTCTTATAAAATTTTAATTTTTATGTAAAGTTCAGAACTTTTTCAATATATATTTACGATTTTTTGTGAGACACCAAGTCGATTTAATTAAAACAATTTTTAAAAAAAGATTTAACCCGAGGGTGTAGCATTTATTAACTTCTATTCTTTCAAGAGATCTGAAATAAATTTAAAATAACTTTTACTTTTGAAAGTTTAACTTGCACTAATAAATAAATAAAATGATGTCATTGACTTTTACGCAACTGAATCAACCTGAGCTGGGATGGATGGAAACTATTGGATGGAGTTATCAGAAATTTGGTTCATGTCGAATTCTGAATGCTATTGAAGCCATCAATACGCACCGTACCAAAAACAAACACACACACATTCACACAACACACATTCACACACACACACAAAGTCATACACATAAATAGGTATAACTATATGTATATATTGTATTTTTTTAAAGATTACATTAGGTAAAGTAATTATGATACGAAAAATTAAAAATTTATACAACCATTCGTCAGCATACACACACTCTGATATTCATATTCAATAAAAATACACACATACAAATACACACAGGTTATATAAAAATACACATTCGCACACATACATACACGCATACATGCTATACATACATACTATACAATCACAAACATACGAATGAGCATACACGTACACACATACAAAAAAATACACACGTTCAGCATCAACATGTTACAACCACCGCAGCCAGCTTAGCATGAGGATGTACATTTTTCTGCTTTCAAATACAAATTTCAAATTTGGCGCCTCTTTTTGAATGAATAGCGCAAAAATATTTATTTATAGCACGCTCTGCATGGCGTATATCGCACACGGAATCATTATATGCTGTGCATTTATGCAGTTTCAAATGATAAGCTCTATATAAATGCCATGTCCGCTCTGTTCTCTCTTGTCTGTGTTGTAATAATGCAGGTAGTTGCTGTCTGTGCCTGTTTGCTAGCTCCTATTTCCTAACTTATTGATAGTTATTCAATGTTAACTGATTATTATACACTACAAAAGTGCTGTAATTAACTATATATAAGACTTTAATAAAATACTGCTCAAGTAGCTTCAAATAGCTTATTATTGAACAGTTTAACTTAATTTCGTTAGTATTCATTAATTTTATTTGTTATATTTGCTAACATTTGAAGGTTAAATATTTAAACTTAATTTTTTTCCGATTTTGATCCTACGTTATTTCGGCGTGCCTGGGCGGACTTGCTCAGGTTAAAATAAATTATCTAGGTTGTTCGAGTACTTGTGCTGCCACGTTTTACATCGTTCGATAGTTGACCAATCGTAAAAGTCTAATCATTCGCTGCCGAATACTCTCGACCAATCAAAATGCGCCGTTAGTTATATCCATGTTTCACGTACATTATACTACTACTAAGCAAGTTTTGCGTTCAAGTTAGGAGTTGGGAAGTTAGTTTTTATATATTTGATCAATTTATTCGTTTAATTTTCGACAATTTTGAAAGAAAATTCAAAAAAGGATGGCGTCTTCGTATGCGTTAGTTGGTTTAAAAAATTGGTTGAACCATATATGTAAGTTTTTTTTATGGCGTTACTGAGCGTTTGTCGTCATTCATTTTTTTTAAAGTTGGTGAGATTTTTAGAAGCAAATTCATTTTATTTTGCTGGAATTTTGCCAGTATTTTATAATTTCATCCGTCAGTAGGATATTTATTCATTTAATCTGCTCGATAATTTAAGATTAATCATTTAACAAGCGGCCTTGGGTCTGTTTCACACTGTTCACACTGCAAAGGTTAATAATAAATAACGCATTTCATTTGATAACTTTTCAAGTACCAGTACAACGTACGTTGAATACAGTACCGTGATTCAACTTTTGATTGAAATGTACGTTCACACATTTACATACATTGGATCATAAATATTTAAAAAAGTTATAGATAAGAGGACCAAGCTAAGCTAAGTAAGAGGATCATGTCATTTTATACTACTCATGGTATATGGTTGTGTGTGATCAAAATTAAAATGATCATCCTTCATTTCCTCTGCAGATGTACATATTTTCCCATCATCAGTTTAGTTATTTAGTAACATTTATCCACTGTTCATCAGTTTAAAAGTTATTTTTAAAATCCAATTCAACCCATACAAGTTGAAGCAAGATGATTGATTGCTAATGGGTTTGACTTTACTCTACCAGCTACTTAAGCACATTGTTACATTACACTTACAGGAAAGTGAAATTTTGTGCAAGAAATTAGCTCATTATGAATGGTAGCATGAGAATATCTATACTACACCATATCCCTTTGTGTTAGAATACAAACAATTTCTAACACAGTGTTTCAAATATTAAAAATGAGTTATTTAAATTTAGTTGTTAGAAACTTAGAAAAGTTAGATGTCAAAAATGTAATGAGAATTCTTTCTTAGTAATTACTAGAGTGTACATTGAATCTAGCGTAATATATATTCTTTTCCAAGATGAAACAGGGTAAAGTTAAGGTATAAATTTAAATCTTTCTTTTCATATCTTTATTTATGTGACAGCTCTGTGCTGCCTGCTTTCTTATTTTATTTTTGATCTTTCTTAAAGAAACTTTTTACTTATTTTTTTCTTTCTTCTTTTTTTTTGAAAGTAAGACAATGATAGAAACCATATGGTTAGTCCTGAAATAAGTTTGTAACAACATTTGACAAACAAATTTAATTCACAATCTGGGCATAGTTTTATTTAGTGAATGCTTAAAAGCAGATTTAGGTTTAGTTAATGAGCTATAATTAATTATTTGTTTATACATACATTTAAAATAATTTATGAACATGTATGTAATGCTATGAATAAATTTTTATATCAATTAGACAGGAGCAGATATAAGATGTGTTTCTTCAAAAGACATTGACACTTGTCAGCCATTTGTTGGATCAAGTCAGTTGGATGGAAGAAGCCTTTCTTTTCTAATAGAAGTAGTATCCATCTTAACTATTGATTAATTGGTCAGTTTTCTGATTGATTAATCAGTTTTCTGATTGACTGATTGATTGTTTAATTTATTGTTTAATTAACTCACTGGTTGGCTGTTGGTATTGTGAACAAACTTGACAGGGTTAGTTTGATTTGATTGGAGCATGAAGGGAAAGTTTATTAAACTGCGAAGTTTTCAGTCAGATGCATGCATAAAACTTCATGTACTTATCAAACATTTTGAAGTTGAACTGGCAAATTTTTGTAAAAATCTCATCTAAAAATTTCAATATGTACATAACAGCGTAAAATCAGTGAAAAAATTTATGTTCTCTAATAGGATCTTACACAAGCATGTTTTGTCTGTTGTTTTGTGTGTGTGTGTGTTTGTATATTCATATATATTTATAATTTCTATGATGTGCATAATGCTTTTGTGACACATGCTTGTATTTGCACAAAGCTGAGTAAGGTCATGATGTGTGATGTGTTTCACTGT